GCACCTTTGCACGGTAGCCCAACATCAATAGCGGATGGACATCCCAGTCATCATGGTTACCGTCCAGATGCTTTGAAAGCATTCCCAGAATGGTTCTCATCATGCGCTCACATTTAGCGTTACCCTCCGGATGATAGGGGGAAATCTTAGCTTTCTCAACGCCTAGCAGGCGACAAATCTCTTCGATGAGAACTCCTGTGAAATTGGCAGCGTTATCAGAATGAATTCGTCTTGGGCAGCCAAAACGAGAAATAAACTGATTCACTAGGACGTCTGCTAATGTTACTGCCTTCATGTCTGGCACTGGTTAAGCCTCACACCACCAGGTGAAATGGTCAACAACCACAAGCAAATGTCGATTGCCCTGTGAAATAGTCGGCAAACCTGAAAGGAAATCGATTGAAATGGTCTCTAGAGGCTCCTCAGCGTAAAGCTCGCCCATCGACGATCTCGGTCGGGGCACTGGGGCAGCTCTCGTGTTGCAGCGCTCGCATCGGCTGCAGAAATCCTTCACGGATTCGTCCATATTGGGCCACCAGAACTCGCGTCTGGCAGTCGCGACAAGGGCCTCAGCACTGCAGTGGCCTCCAGCTGGACCTGCGCGCAGAGATGTCAGCACACCGGGAACAAGTTGCTGCGGTACGACCAGCTGCAACTGCTCCTCTCCACCTGCACGGGCACGATACACACGGAACAGCACACCGTCCAGCAGCTTCAGGCGGTGCCACTGTCTCAGCAGCGTCACAGCGCTGGGAGTCACGTTCGTCGATCTCGGCCTCTTTCCTGTGGACATGTGTCTCGAAATGTCAGCTATTGCAGGGTCCTGGTCCTGCTCGTGGCGAAGAAAGCCTTTTGACCACGACCCAGGAGACACTCTCATGACCGGGACACTCTCTGGTGCAGTTTGAGTCGCGGCATCCTGGGTCACCGGCGAACGTCGGCTCATGCCTCATCACATCAGCTGGTATGTTCTCAGACCCTGGACGAAAGATAATCTCGAAGTCATATTCAGACAGTATCTCCAGCCATCTCGCCAGCACTCCTGAGGGATTTTTGAAATTGAGAAGCCAGCGAAGGCTTGCATGGTCAGTCCTCACTTCAAAACGCCTACCAAGCAGGTAGTGTCTGAAATGCTGGACGAAATTAACACAAGCCAGCAACTCCTTTCGTGTTGTGCTGTAGTTGCGCTGCGCCTTCGACAGCCTTTGAGACGCGAACGCGATCACCTTGTCCTCTCCATCCTGCTCCTGGAAGAGAGTAGCACCAATGTCTGTGACAGAAGCATCGGTATCCAGCCGGAATCGACCAGCACCAGCTGAAAATCTGGGAAATGAGACCACTGGTGCACTCGTAAGCGCACACTTCAGCTGCTCAAACGCACTCTGCTGCATGTCACCCCATTGAAATTTTGCATCTTTGTGCGTCAGCTGAAACAGAGGAGCAGCTATTTCGGCGAAATTGCGTACAAACTTTCTGAAATATGACGCGAGTTCCAAAAAGCTCGACAGTTCCTTGACTGTACGGGGAACAGGCCAGTCTATTACCTTGGCTACTTTTTCGGGATCAGCTCTCACGCCACCACCTGACACTACATGACCCAAAAAGTTGACCTCTTTACAAAACAAAGATCATTTCTCCAGATTCAGTGCATAGGCGTCGCCAGACATTTTCGGTTGGGGGGGGGCAAAATCAAGTTTTGTGTTAAATCTTGCCTTTCCCCAGCCGTTACTCACTCGTTTTACATAACATTCGACGCGCAATGGTGCGAGGAATCCGATGGTGACAAAGTTTTCCTTCTAGCTAGGTATAGCATGTATTTTTTTACAAAAAAAAAATCAAAATTTTGAAATTTCTGGACAAAAACGACCGTTAGAATTACAGTGGCTGCGATTGCCGACGCACTGCAGAGGGCCCCTGTGCAGACTCTCGTCGCTCATGATCATTACCCAGAAGAAGGTGAAAAACGCTCCATTTGAATCGGATCACCTCGCTAAAACCTCCATTCACGCATGCATGCCGAGGTTTTACGTGAAATGCATAGGGCTTATCCCAGCCGCCGATTGTAGCTAAGAATTGGGCATTCGGCGGAGACTGAGAGAGAATGTCGGAAGTGTGAATCGGAAGTACATCATTCATCCTTGCTGCAGTGAGAAGAAGTGTTTTGTTCACTCGAGTGTGAACAAAAAGTTTCTGGTTTTTCGAGTGAAGGGAAGCGCTGCAAACGCGACCAAAAATATTTAACGGAACCAAAAGTTATGCACGGCATAGCGGCAAGGGATCCCTTAGAGATAGGATTGCGACTTCCAGGCCATTTCAGGCCACTCAGGGTCAGTGTGGACTCTCAGAAGCCTGCTTAGGATCCCGGAGATCGGCGTGGGTCACCCCAAATATTTACGTGTATGTGGTGCTTTAGGGCTTTCCGAGCCTAAGGTGGGCCCGGAAAGCCCTTTAGGGCACACGAGCTTTCAGAAGCCAGTGTGGGCGGGGGGCGCTAAGAGACTAGGCCCAGGGTGAGCCTGGAGCCCTCGAATAACAGTGTGAACCGTCGGGGTCTGTGTCGAATCCTTAAGGACCCTACGTTGGTAGGGACATAAGAAACATGTGTTGCGGCCCTCAGAGGGACACGTGAGTTGTGGCCCCTCAGATGCCGGGTTGGGGTTAGTAAAGTCTGTCGCCTCAAAAGTTCGGCTGAACTATCATAGGCCAGTTGAGGTTTCAGAAATTTTCGAAGGCATCCTCAAAGATTCGTGTGGCCCTTCAGAGGTCTACGTATGTACAATGTCCTCAAAGATCCCTGTATGGGCCCTCTAGAGAACATGGACACCAGTGGGACTCTCAGAGGCCGGTTTGGGCCCTCCGAAAGCTTCTTAGAGCTCAGTGGAGCTCCTTAGGAGCCTGTGTGAAAAGCAGGCTCATGAGCCCTGCGGCACTTGAACGGTACTTGTGCCTGTCGCAGACATTTGACGAGAGTTGAAAAAGGCCCCGAAGATTTCGTGTCACGCTTTGAACGAAAATTATGTGTCAGCACTCCAAAATTTATGAAAATCAGCTACAAAATGTAATACAGAACCAACTAGGAACATGGCATGAATCATGGCATTGACATTTCCGAGTCTGGAGTCGGAGTCTTGAAGATTTTGGCGACTGCGACTCTGACTTTGGTTTGAACTGCACGCTCCAACAGAGTCTGACCTCACAGGCATTCTCAGAAAGGTACCCCCATTTTTCCCCGACTCCAAAATCTCATCGGATCTTTATCGATCTCAGGGGGTGCCCGGTCCGAGGTTGGGGGGGGGGGGGAAGCTGCCCCGCTTGCCCCCCCCCCCGTGGCGACGCTAATGAGTGTAAGCCCTGCGGCCTGCAACCTCTGCAGCACCTTATCAAGTTTGGCCAACACATCCTCCACTCCATTCCCGTGAACCACAATGTCATCAAAATAATGAACACAGTCATTTGGCGTGATATCTCCCAACACACGATCAAGCAGACGAGCACAGGTAGCAGGTCCTCCTGCCAAACCCAAAATCATCCTTCGACAGCGGTACGAACCGAAGGGTGTAGTGATGGTGGTTTTATCTCTATCTTTCTCGGACACACCGATCTGAAAATACGCGCTGTTCATTTCATGTTGGCAAAACGTATTAGAACCAGACAGCGCATCCAGCGTATCATCAATACGCGGGATCTGATACACAGGAATCTTACTGCAAGCATTCAAACGTCTCAGATCAGCAACCAAACGACTTTCCATTCGTCTTTCGAACTGTATCGATATGTTGAGTCGCCTATATCGATATGTTGTGAGTCGCTTATATCGATATGTTGTGGGTCGCCGTTTGTATCGATATCAACGTGTGGGCCAATAAAGGCGTGACGTGTCACTTGCTGGCACGGCACAGAGCACGAAACATGGCGCAGCCGACAGGATAAATAAAAGCGTGACGTGTCACTTGCTGGCACGGCACGGAGCACGAAACATAGCGCAGCCTGTGGTGAACTTGTGGTTTTGATTTCTTATTTTTGGTGGGTTAACCCTCGCACGACCAGGCCATTTCTCATAACACGAACGACCAGGGGGGGGGGGGTTGTTACGACCCCCCCCCCTGGCGTTTCGAAACGGAAGGTCGTAGAGCTTAGCGAAAAAAACCAACGGATTGCTCTCAACGAGATCTCGCGATTGGTGGTATATTTTTTGGTCCTAGGTCAACATTTGACCTACTTTTGACCGGTCAAAGGTCAAATTTTCGGAAAAATAGACTTTTTTCAACTTTCCGCGGCGATTGCGGCAAAACGGTGAGAGATATCGACTTGAAACCTTCACTATCGTGTTCCTTGATCAATTCTCTATCGTTTGGTATGTATTTCGTTTCCCTAGCTCTAAAAATGGCGCGTTGGGAGCGCCGGAAGTCGGCAAGGTCACAGTCGGCGGCAGAAATTCGAAAAATCAAAATTTAAATTTTTGAAATCTGATTGTATTTTCGGATTTGGGAGGTCCATTTGCTCCCTATAGAAGCTAATATTGCTGCATATTCCCATTGAGGTGACAAGAATTAGCAAAATAGTGGTTCGGGCGCTTTTCAAAAATAGTACCGGACGCTGTTCCTCTTATGACGTCATAACTCCGTGACCTGACCTGACCCGGTCAATTTTCTTGCACCACACGATAGCCAATGCTTGCCCCAACATGCATGGGAAGTTTCATCATGATCCATCAAACAATGTGGGTATCACCGGCAGAAAACCTAGGGATTCGGCGCACACGTTTGGTAACTGTCGGCCGGAGGCTGTACCTCTTATGACGTCATAACTCCGTGACCTGACATGACCCGATCAATTTTTTTCGGCAAAAGATGCGCAAAGGTTGCCCCAGAGGGTATTGAAAATTTCAGCCCGCTACGACAAGCCGTTTAGCGTGCACTTCGAAAAAACCTCAGGGGGGGGGGTTGATACAACCCCCCCCCCTAGGCGTTCTAGGGTTAAAAGCAACTTGAAGAAGTGTAAGAAAGCGAGAAGAAGCAAGACAACATCAAGCAGTGATGTCTGGATTTACCCCACCAGAACAGTTTGATTTTACGTCACCAGAGCATTGGCCTCTGTGGCGCGACCGCTTCAGACGATATCGCCAGGCGTCAAAGCTAAATCTCGATGAGGAGGAAACCCAGGTCAGTGCACTTGTTTATGCAATGGGGCCAGAGGCTATTATTTTGAGCATAGAAGCTTTCCCTCACAACAATTTTGAAGCCGCTGTGCGCTGTTTTGATGGGTACTTTACCCCAAAGAGAAATGTGATTGCTGAGAGGCATGCTTTTGAGATTAGAACACAAGGCGCTTCCGAGTCGAACGAAAGCTACATTAGAGCAGTGCATTGCCTTACCGAACACTGCCAGTTTGCTGACAAAAATGAAAGGATCAGAGACCGTCTCATAGCAGGAATGAAAGATACAAATATCCAAGCAGATTCAGTTACGAGCTCTGGATTCAGATGTGACTCTTGAAGTTGTGGTGCAGATGCTTCGTAATCATGAACTCGTGCATGACCCGAGTACCACAGACAATGTGAACAGGATTGAAAGCAGAGCGAGATACAAGCCAGCACCACATCAAGCAAGACGCCCAAGCCAGCCTGGACCAGCTGTTGGACGAAGCCAGAGCCAGCCAGATCCAGCCTCGTCCAGACCAAGATCAGGTCGTGGACGAGCAGGCAGAGGATCACTACTCTCCACAACATGCAGGTATTGTGGAAGGAGGAGGCATACCAGTCCGCAGCAATGTCCAGCCCTGGGGAAAACCTGTTTCAAGTGTGGTGGCAGGGACCACTTTGCAAATGTTTGCTCGGGTTCAAGCCATAGAGTTCAGAGTGTCCAATGTGCACCAGATACTGAGCATGATGAGGACCAGGAGGAAGGTTATTTTCTTGGGGTGGTTGAAGGGCACAAGAGCAAGGACTGGACAGTTTCTGTTGAGGTTGGTCAAAGTCAAGTCAGTTTCAAAGTGGACTCTGGTGCAGATGTTAACGTCATGTCTCTCCAGCAGTATGAGCAGATGGTGCAGAAGCCAGACCTGCTGCCCACCTCAAGACAGCTGACCAGTGTTGGTGGTGTCCTTGATGTCCTGGGAGTATTCAGTGCAACCATCAAGTACAAGCAGGTGAGCCTTGAGAATGAACATTTCTATGTTCTGGACACTTCTCAGAATCTGTTGTCACGCTCCACTGGAGAGAGGCTCGGAGTGATTGAATTCACTGGAGAGGTGAGACTGTCTCAGAATGTGTTTGGTCCAACTGGCTTGATGAACACATCACCAATCAAAATCAGGCTTGTTGATGATGCCGTACCCTCTGCTGTGCATACTGCTCGTAATGTGCCATTCCCACTGCTGAAGTCGGTGAAACAGGAACTGGAGAGAATGGAAGATGCTGGAATCATCAGGTCAGTCTCAGAACCCACTGACTGGTGTGCACCAATGGTGCCCGTTCCCAAGGGTGGTGGTTCAGTCCGCATCACGGTCGATTACAAGAACCTGAACAAGTGTGTGAAGAGAGAGATCCACCCTATCCCCACTGTGGAACAGTTGACAGTTGAACTTGCAGGTTCGAGCATCTACAGCAAGCTGGATGCCAGCTTGGGGTTCTACCAGCTCCCACTGGACAGGGAGTCACAGCTACTGACCACTTTCATCACCCCATTTGGCAGGAAGGCATTCCAGCGGCTTCCAATGGGGATAAACCTGGCGCCTGAATGTTTTCAGAAAAAGATGCAGGAAATGCTGGCTGGTCTTGATGGTGTACTGATATACATGGATGACATTGTTGTGTACGGTGACAGTGTGACGCACGACGAGCGTCTGCAGGCAGTTCTCCAGCGGATCGAGTCATCCGGGCTGAAGCTGAACAAAGCGAAGTGCGAGTTCAAGAAGGACAGCATCATCTTCTTTGGCCAGAAGATCAGCAGCAGAGGAGTGGAACCGGATCCTGCCAAGCTCGCAGCAGTGAGGGAACTGCAGGCGCCACAGAACGAGCAGGAACCGGGCCCATGTCACTCCACTTTTGATGACATCATAAGGGGGCCTCAGGACAATACGCACAATCGCTTCAAAGCTACTTGCTAACAGTTGCCATTTTCGAAAATATTATTTTGAAATTAAGTTACAAGTTAAAAAAAATTGTAATAAAGTTGTTGATTAACCCTCGCCAGGCGAGGGCCTTTTCCATAACACGGACGGCGAGGGGGGTTGGTACGCCCCCCCCCCTCGCGATTGGCTCCTATGGCACTTAAAAACGCCAAATTTTCAGGGTAGGTGGGTCCATAGGAGATCTCGCCCCTGTGAAAGTTTGGTGACTCTAAGTCAATATTTAGGGGGGTTTTGGGGGGTATGAGTGCAAAAATTTTGCTAAAACATGTTAAAAGTTTTTCGCTTATAACTTTTTACCTAGTAAAGATAGAGCAAAAATAAAAGCACCAGTGAACTCAGGACGTCCGTGCGCATCGAATGATATACTTTGTTACCAATTTTAGTGAACTCTGGAATTCAGTTGCCGCTAAGCTAGTCCAATTTTCCCCTGACCTTGTACCGGTTTTTGTGACCTGGTGACCTGACCTGAAAAGACTGGGACTTCAAATTTTCAGGAAAGGTGCGAAAATGTTGCCCCAGAGGGTATGCCAAATTTGGCGGCGCTACGCACCGCCGTTTTTACGTTACTTGCGAAAAACCTTAGGGCTGCATCAACCCCCCCTCGTCGGGCGAGGGTTAAATCGATGCCATATCTAAAAACTTACTGAAAAATGATTTATTCATAGTAAAAATATAAGCTCGATACGTTTTTCCGTTGCTTTCTTGCAACTGCAGAGGATTTTTAAATCGTCTATATCTTCAAAACCGGCCATTTCTTAGCATATTGCTGCTCTTTTTTATCGCTAGAAAATTAGTTGGACTTTTCAATGAGATCAACGGTTGAGCGATATGTGTAGAGTGTCACCAACAATCTTCAAATGAAGTTAGTCATTTTTACGTTGTAAAGGAATGGAGTACCCCTTGCGAGCATCAGGGGTGACGTCACTCAGGATCTGTCTCTGATTGGTCGGCGGGGGAGTGACTGTACCTTCTATAGATGGCCTTGGCAGGAACTGAGGAGCCTACTTGGAACCGTCAACTATCTGGGTAAGTTTGTGCCCCAGATTCAAAGCAAGCTGAAACCCCTAAACGACTTGTTGAAAAAGGATGTAGCCTGGGTGTGGTCCCATGTTCAGCAAAAGGCTCTTGACGAAGTAAAGCAGATGCTAACTGGTGCTCCTGTGTTAGCTTTCTATGACCCAACCAGAGAGACCATTGTGAGTGCTGATGCGAGCAGCTATGGCATCGGTGGCTGTGTGTTGCAGCGACAACCCGACTCCCAGCTGAGACCCGTTGCGTTTTGTAGCAGAACGCTGACCCCATGCGAGCAACGATATGCTCAAATTGAAAAAGAGTTATTGGCTGCTGTCTGGACGTGTGAACGAATGCACATGCTACTGTCTGGTCTACCACAGTTTCGACTTGAGTTAGATCATAAACCGTTGATTCCGTTGATCAACTCAAAGAGCCTATTCGACACACCTATTCGATGCCAGAGACTTTTGATGCGTTTGACAAGGTACAATCCAGTCGCCACCTATGTGCCTGGAAAGCAGCATGTTGTACCAGATTACCTATCCCGGCATCCCTGCAAAGAGACCGACAATCTCGCCACTGTATTGCAGAATGACGTCAGCGATTACGTGTCCGGCGTGATCGGCAGCCTGCCCGTGAGTGATCACCGCCTGGAGGAGATTCGGGTGCTGCAGGAGAGGGATGATGACATCTGTCGTGTCACCCAGCAGACTCTTCATGGCTGGATGGAGGGTCCGAGGGCCCTGCAGGACTACTTCAGCGTCCGGCATGACCTGAGTGTGGTGCACCTGTCGTCAGGCCCTCTGCTCCTGTACCGCAACCGTCTCGTCATCCCTTCGAGTATCAGGTCAGAGATTTTGAATAAGCTGCACAATGATGGCCACTTTGGTCTATCCAAATGCCGACAACGAGCTGACCAATCAGTCTGGTGGCCCGGGATCTCGAGGATCTGAAGAGACATGTCAGCCAGTGTCAGTTTTGTCAGATAAACAGTCCACAACAGCATCGTGAGACACTCATACCGACTCCCGTCCCAGTGTCTGTGTGGAGTCACATTGCCTGTGACATCTGTCATCACAGCGGTCACGACTACCTGATTACAGTGGATGTGCTCAGCAGATACCTCGAGATTCAACGTCTTCCCCGTCTCACGAGTTCGGCGGTAGTAGAACGACTCAAAACGCTATTCGCCCGCCATGGAATCCCCGACATGGTAACATCCGATGGTGGAACTCAGTTCACGTCACATGTGTTCCAGAACCTGTCCACCGAGTACGGTTTCCGGCATCGGATAACCGACCCTCACACGCCGTCTTCGAACGGCGCCGCTGAGCGCGCCGTGAGGACGGCTAAGTGGCTCCTCCGCCAGCGGGACCCGCATCTGGCGCTGCTCAACTACCGCGCTACGCCGGTGGAGGCGACAGGCCAGTCGCCTGCTCGTCTGCTCTTTGGACGCGAGATCCAGACTCGGCTTCCGCGTCCGCGGGTCGTCGAGTGTCAGGACTCTACACTCGACGCCGCGAGGAGGAGGGATGGCGAGAGGAAGGAGCTTCAACGGGAGAGCTTCAACAAGCACCATGGAGCGCGCGACCTGCCGCCGTTGCGGCCTGGGGATGTGGTGCGAGTGCGAACACGGATCGACCCGGACTGGCGCGAGCGCGTGACAGTGCGTGAGCGGATCGGGCGACGAAGTTATGTGGTAGATAACAATCGTCATACAGTGAGGCGCAATCGAGGCGCCCTGCGGCTGTCACCGGGGATCGAGCCTCCCACGGGCTCGTCGGACCTCCCGGTGCCCTTGTCGGTGCGGCCGTCGCCGGGCGTGCCGGAATCTGTGCGGCCGTCGCCGGGCGTGCCTGTTGGTGTTTCAGTGCGGCCGAGCCCGACTGTCTCGATGCCGCGGCCGGCTATCTCTCCGCCGGGTCGGACGCCGGAGCCCTGTCCTTCCGCAGCGAGTCCGAGCAGGACCCGCAGCGGCCGGCTGTACGGGTCACGTTCGTGATCCTCTGTACGAGTATGCCGTTGTCTGTTGTACCGTTTCGCTTTTTGGGGGAGATGTATCGATATGTTGAGTCGTCTATATCGATATGTTGTGAGTCGCTTATATCGATATGTTGTGGGTCGCCGTTTGTATCGATATCAACGTGTGGGCCAATAAAGGCGTGACGTGTCACTTGCTGGCACGGCACGGAGCACGAAACACGAACCATAACGATTGGGGCTGACCATGTGCCATTCGACTCCTCGAGAATCCCGTGGTCCACCAGCTCACTGATCTGTGCCTTGACCTCGGCTGCAAGGTGAGGGGGAACACGTCTGGGTTGTCGAATGGGCGGGTGGTCGCCGGTGTCTATGTCGTGGGTGACCACATCAGTGAAGCCGATATGGCCGTCAAACATCCGCATAGCGGGACAACAACTCGTGGACTCTCTGACGCTGTTCGTCAGTGAGGAGAGACTGATCGAGTTTGGCCAATTTCTTCACATCAACATCTGTCGACGCCGAGAGCTCCGGTGCCTGATCTACAAATCCAACCTCGACCGAAGCCAAACTTCGCTTTTTGAAGAGCGTGATCGGCTCTGCTGTCACATTCCGAACGACCACGGGAACACAAGCACGATCAACATTGACAATAGCACGCACCACCTCAACACCAGAGGGGACATCATCTGGCTCAATCAGAGCTGGGCCGACGCAGGGCACTAAAGAGTCGGGTACTCCAAAGTTTTTCCTAGTATGTACTAGAATTATACTATATCAACTAGAAAAACAACTAGAATCGGGAGCTTACAACTATATACCGAAAATTATCCCAGGATATGGCTGCACTCAAGCGCGGCGCAGCTGGCGCTCGTGTTTCAATACATTGCGCTTCATATTTATACACAAGGCGGCCTGTGGTTTCACGCGGTTATATGGTGTTCTCTTCAATTAAAGACTTGCAAATTGTGCTGGCTAATTATTTAATAGCTATCGTATGCACACAAAAAAAAATCCGCTCTTTATTATGCATAGAATTATGTGAACAAATACATTTCTGGGCAGTTGTGTGCAAATTTGCAAATTGAAATTGATGAACTTGAATTTGGGTGGTGGGCTGCAGCCTCGCTCTCTCATTCTTTCACTGCTACTTAACAGTGTGTTTAAAAAGAAGTTTCAAGGTTTTTTATCAAATGTGAGACATGAAGACACCTTTGGACTTAACTGTGAGCATGTTTTGCATATAATTGTATTGCAAAGATTGCTTACACCAGCTTTATCTATTTGCAATGGTAGCTCTCATATGACATTTGTGTATTGTCTTTTCTATGTTGGTCGTTTGTATATATTTTTATAGCTCTGACAGGCTGACGAAGGAAGACTGAAGTCTTCTGAAAGCTATCATTACTAAGAAATGAAGCTGGTGTTTTGAACAGTGTTCCAAAGTTTGATTTGGGCTTGGGTGTCGGAGGGAGATACTCCGCACCACAAAGAGGGCTGAGAGTGGAAAATCGCCAGTAAGAAAGGCACAAAGGAATTGAAACAGGGATCATCAGTTTTTTTTTGTGAATGTTGGAGAATGTGGGAGCCGCATTATAAGATGATTCAATGTAATATGGATAATGGAGGTAGGTTAAAGCCAGCCAGCAAATGTACGTGCACTGGAAGTGCTCTTTATTGGTAAAATTAGGAGTGAAAAATTGTTCTGGAAAATTGGAGATGAAAGGGGAAAATTGATTTCATTTGGATGTCACTTCCCACCCTAAACTGGCAAGTATTGGGACACTGTTTGAACAAATTTAACAATACAATATCACTGTCCCAGCTGAATAACATCAACAAATAACATCATACTTTGTGTAAGCATCTCGTACAACTATGTTGGTGTGATAATGAAATCAAAACACATGCATCCTGTATCCATGAGAGTGGATAGTAAGTAAAAAGTGGCATTTGTTGTGATAATTATGCATTATCCTGGTAATTTTAGTTTGAATGAAATAATGTGAGATTTATTTGATTGAAACTAAACATTGAAAATAATTTCTAGATCAACTTTAATTTTTCCTTTGTTCTTGTTGTTGCTGTTCTTGATATTCCACTTCACTCACACATCAAATTGACTTCCTTAGCCGTATATCTGATCCTTTTTAAGGACAAGACGTGCACTACTACATGTATGTTGTGCAGCTGGCTCAAGATTCCTATATATAGCCAGGCTGCCCTACCGACACTGGCAAAATGAATGCTTCCTCGAACAAAGCTAACCAAAGCTGCCATCAACTGTCTAAATCTGAACAGGAAGGAAGCCTAGCTTTCAGCATAGGCACCAGCAGCTTGTGTGAAGCTGTGACTTTCAGGGTGCTAACAGGTCACTTAATAACAGGTCACTTAATAACAGGTCACTTAATAACAGGTTAAATTAACAGGTCACTTAAATAACCATGCATTACACTTTAAACCAAATCTACAAGTTGGCTCCTTGTTACAAGTTTGGTTCCAATTCGCATAGGCGTCACCTTGTCGATACCTTGTCGATTCACCAACCCCAGGCTTGTTGGCCACCAAACTAACAGTTTGTCTACAAGTTTGGTTCCAATTCGCATAGGCGTCACCTTGTCGATACCTTGTCGATTCACCAACCCCAGGCTTGTTGGCCAACAAACTAACAGTTTGTCTACAAGTTTGGTTCCAATTCGCATAGGCGTCACCTTGTTGAGTACTAGCCTGGGCCTTGTGGACCTACCAACTTCTGGATAGGCATAGTCGTTTCCTTGTCGGTTCACCAATCCCTGGTTTGTTGATGAACTAGCCTAGCCTTTGACTGGGCATTGCTAGCTTACAAATTGTCTAACGTAAGTGTACTAACGCTCTGTTCGAACTTGCTCTTCCTTACAATCGCTTTGTTTGCGTTGATACTTGATAACCTTAAGAACTTACGATTCGCGTGCGTTTTCAATTGCCACGATACTGATTCAGGAAATATTTTCTATACGGACAGGTTATTTTTTGGCTGGAAGTGGTGCACAAAACCATGACTGGCATCAGTTATTGCTCATGCTCAAAGGCTTGCGCTGACAAGAAACGAAATACTGATGGGTTATATAATCAATGAATGCATACACCACATCCATTAGGAAGTTTCTGGAATCATTAGTATTTATTACGGTCACGTAATTAATACTATTGACTGGAGACAATTCCGAGTGCATATTTCCGAATGGATGTGGTAAATGCATGAGGTAGGTATACCCAGTAGGTATACCTATCGTGCACCGTCAGCATATAAGTCTTTGAAGCAAGAACTGCTGCGTATGTGGAAGAACATGGTTTTGTGCACCGCATCAAGCCAGAAGTATAACATGCCCGTACGACGAATATTTCCTTAACATTAAGCATAACAATCATGGCAGTTGCACGATGACGCAAATAATTCGAATAAATCATGATCGCCAACCAGATTAGCTTTTACAGCCCATATATGTCCATCAGTTAAGTTAAAAATACAAAGAGTTGAATTAAAGGCAAATAAATGTATTTATATATAAAAAACACCGACCGCAAAACATCTGCTCACATGTGCATGCACAGGTCTGGTCCACTTACATTGCGCGCGCAGGGGAAGGGAGGCGACTCGACCGCGGGTATAGGCACGATTAGTGCGTCCCGCAGGCCAGAGGGGGCCTCACTCACAGCACGAACACCACAGTTCACAGATTTCACTTTTTACTGCACAAATGCTGGAACAGCCCTCGTCGCTGCTCCAGGCTGCACGGCGGCCGCGCGACAACTGCTGGTTCGAAACCGCCGCGCCGGGGCCCGCTAACGGCTGGCGGCGACCGCTGATTGGTCCGCCAAGTCTGACGTCATGGGCGCAGCTGACCATGTGTATGCTGACCAGCTGACCAGTACAAGTTAGGCGCCGGTTAAATAACCATGCGGCAACAAGTTTCCAAAACTGGTTAAGAAACAAACGTTGAAACAAATGTAGAGTTGGTCTGGATACTGAGAAGTTGGTGTGCATAGTAACTATTGACTCGTAATTGTCACCTGACAAGCAATGCACCAGACAACGGCTTGTTTAAAAAGTATCAGTTGGTAAACATACCAAGAGATGATTGGTTATATTACACAAGACTTGTCAATTTGGTTTACAGTGTACTCCTCTGATAATGCTTGTCATGTTTTCAGATAGGTACACGTTCTTTCATCCTGACTTTTGAAACATAAGTACCACCTGAATTTGTTTTCATTGCAAGTGTGATGCATGTAATTTCATCTTGATATGTTCCCAGATGGAGGATCCTGCTCGCAGCTATGCCTCATTGCCTACCATGGCCGAAACTTTTTTGAGAGGGTTACCATAGTGTTCTCCGTCTTATGTGTTGAGGATGAGCTGTATCTTGTGATCAATGTTTAACTTAAGTGTAACACCGTGACATCTTTCAATGCCAAAGTTTATTTGTAAAGAGCCAAAGTCAATTTGCATTGGAACGAGCGGTAATGTGATGTGTGGAGCATGTAATTTGCACGATTGGGAACCATTACTCTGTAACCCAAAGTGGGATGTTTACATACATGAGAATGTTCAGTGTTCATCGTCGATAGATAATAAAAGCATTAGCATACCAGTAGATGGATTGGTCTGTGGTCGTCCAACATAGTATCAGAGCTGCAATTTTGACACCATCGTGTTCGTCATGCTCAGCCACGTCGAATGATATGCTTTTTGTATGGGTGAGGTCAATTTAGGATGTTCCAAGGTCAGGTCAGGTCATGACCTCATGATTAGCCATTAGGTCAAGTTGCACATGATTCAATTCGGCAGGTCTTTCTGAGTCCAATCGTGTCTTTTCCGTCTAAGATCACTGTCAGCGCCAAAACAACTCTTTATTTCCCCTTTGGCTTATAGGTAATGGTCAGATCACCTGACCGACCTGACCTTACGTGACCCTTAGGGGAAATCCGAAGCTAACAACTTTTGAAAATTAGGGAGTTTGATCAGTTCTGTAAGTTTCATCTACCTGTGATAGATCTCCTTGCATTGATGGAGTTACGATGTTGCGACGTCTTCGAGACCGTGCAGAGGTTAACTTGTGACGCCATAGGTCAGTGACCTGACCTGACCTGAAAATGAGGTTGGTGCCACAAAATCCGGCTTGAATCAAAGGTCAGGTATGCCAGCTTACAACTCTCCATCACCAGCGCGCTTACCCCTAC